AGCTGCTGCTCCTAGAGAGCAACGGAACAGCTGATGCTGCTCTGCCAGGGACGCTTCGTCCCGTCAGGAGTGGCATCAGTTGTTCTGTTGCTCTCTACAGTAGAGTTGGTATCATCTGACATATTCGGTAATCCAACCATCTGTCGGTCCCATTTAGGCAGGATGATAGGGACTCTACTGTACTGGGGAATTTTTATTGTAAAAGTACATAGACTTCTGAGAAACAATTATACCATTTCCTTAGCTATTCAAATGCACTATGTTCCTAATTTAAAATGTAATACGCTGCTTTTACCTTAGTAACATTTAGTGCTGTGTTTACATTTTTTATAGCTTCTTCAAAGTTCTCTTCATCTTCTGGGATCCCATTTTCATTCTTTAAGATTCCTGTTTGAAAGAAACAAGTAACAGAAGCAATAACACAAACTCTAGCTTCCACATTACATTTTGTCACATTTCCTCTGGGAGAATCTGAGACATATCGCTGTTCTAGTTCAGTCATTACAAAACATATATACACATTACCACACTGAGACTAAATGGCTACCTACTCCTCATCCATGTGCACACATACTTGGATATTGCATCAAAAATACTTTGCATTCATGACACCTTCCATCCTAAGATCTCAAAGTTTATGTTATGAACTTTAATAAATTAAATGCCTGAGGGTACGGCTAGACTACACACTTTTTCTGAGATACCAGGGCCAAATGTCAGAAAAGCCTCTTCCGACAAAACAATCTGAAAAAGCTATGCAATATACGGAACGCATTTTGCATAGCTTTTTCTGAAAAAAAGATGTAGTCTAGCCATACCCTCAATGGGCAGGATACATGGGAAATGCTATCACCAGATTTACAGACAGAGAAACTAAGGCACAGATGGCGAATGTAATTTGCTTATGGTTGGTCACACAAGTTCAAAACAAAGTCTGTAACAAAATTCAGAGGCCTAATGCTTTAATCTCTAGATTCAGACATACACACCACCATCCTTCCTCTCATGTACAACTGTTTCTTCGTCTTAAATATCAAAATACTTTTGGTATGTGTAAAGAGGCCTGCAAGTTATGAAACACTCAAGCTCTCGCTGTACTTTACACAAAATACATTTGAACATCTTAACAGGAAATAAGGAAACATTACTAACTGTAAATATAATTGTTTATACAGTAAATTTTACTACCGTTTCACTTTAATACATCTATGAAGCAGAGTACTAAATCTAGAATGCAGCAAAATCCAGTTAGCATAAAACGCTCCACTTCAGTTCAATTAGGGAGACAATCTTTATTTCATGAATAACTTCTAGTGATGTAAACAGGATTTAGGCAATAAGAGAAAATAAATGCATTTGTTTTCACCAGGAATCAAGTCTGTTCATACCAACTGAAAAGAACATGCCATTGTTTTTATAGCAATTTAAATGCTTTATTTATATCACTTTCAAAAATACTGTGTAAATGTTAATACTTGTGAAAGTTGCTATATTGATAGCCTTTGAAGTGAAATCCTCTATCCAAAAATTAGTGAATATATTGTAATTAGACATGTACACTTCCTCATACTACCCAATAATTGGTTTCTTTATAGAATCACTGTAGGGTAAACTGAGGCAGCCCTAAATGTGCTAGTAGGCCTCTAAACAGCATAACTCCATTCTAGGATTAAGGCCTGGAAACACCACAGTCAGGATAAGAACTGCAGACAGTAAAAGACCCTAGGCACCATAGCAAGCACGCTCTAAAACACTCGTACAGGGTCTCAGTTGGTAACATAACACATTTTGCTTAAGATAATATTCATAAAATTTGCTTAAACTGTCTTGCTTCACTCCTAGATAATAAGCCTGAGAACCAAGCGCTGCACCAACTCAAGGCCATACTATATGATGCTATAGCATCATCATCATTTATGCAGACTAAAATGTTATTACTGTTTTGCTGACATTTTGGCATTTGAACAATAACCATCTGTATATTAATTAATGAGCAGTTATTTTGCAATGGGCGGAGATATTATGTAATCTTTAGTAGTTCTATTGGCTTATGTGCTCATTTCGTCTTGCTGCTAGACCTATCAAATCATTTTTCCTCCGTCCTCCTGCTGACTATATAATCTATTGTATTGTGTTAATTAACCAGTGTTCACCAGGGTAACCCCTGCGTGTCACTCCATCAGCTGATGTATAATAAATCCTCTGCTTGTTTTCACCTGCATCCCCAAACTAAGCAAACTAAAACTCAATTATTAAAGAAAGCTGTGTAATGAAAGAGACGTCCTATATACATCCATGTAATAGCATAAATCTGCATTGACACAGTTCAATTTCAAGCCACAGTGACAAGCTGTGTTTTGTATAATGTCTTTTCATACTAGTGGAAACACATTACCTTGTCTAATCAGTTCTCTGAAGGCTTCCTTTTCTTTATAATTCTTTGGTATCTGCTCACTTTTCTAAATTGAAAATACAAATAAAAAATATATTCAATCAAAATAATTCCCTGTCACATGACTACCTTCTAGATAGTTTGTAGTCAAAGTTAATACACGTTTCAGTAAGTAGAAAGGAAACATAAGGTAAAAGTCAAACCAGACGCTTTTCAGTATTCACAGCCTTCACTCAGTGCCCAAAAATAAATCTCTGGATGCTGTTCAGTATGGTACTTTTATCACCTATCAATTTACTTACAAGTGATCTAGTTTGGAGTAGGAATGTTACATTTAGATTAACTGGCTAATCGAATAGTTGATGGAATTTGCATTGACTATTTGATTAGTCGATAAGGGCTGTTGCCCTGGGTTGTTGCTACACTTCAAAGGTGAAAGCGCTGTGGGGAGCATGGGAACACCAGGGGACTCAAGCAGTTCCCTAATGGCCCCGTGCTCCCCGCAGCATTTGAAAGCAGCAGCGTCACATGGAGTCCGGGGTTAGCGGGGGGAAGTCCTCATCTGGCCCCAGGCTGTACACGGCGTTACAAATTGGCAGACCACAGGCTCCATGCAACGCTGCCGCTTTTAAATGCTGTAGGCAGCCCTGGGCCAGCGGGGGAATTCCTCAGCTGGCCCCAGGATGCATGCAGCATTTCAAAGCAGCAGTGCCATGTGGAGCCCAGGGTCTGGCCCTGAGCTCACATGGCACTGCCGCTTTAAAGTACTCGCTCCTCTTCCCTGCCCACCACTGCCTCTTTCTGACAGAGGCAGTGGGGGAGGGGAGACAGGCAGGGGTGGCCCGTGAGTACAGGCAGACTCGGCGGTCGCCTAGGGCGCTGCCTTCAACAGGCGCCCGGGGCACCCGATGATGTCACAGGGTGCCGGGGCGCCCGATGATTATGTCACGCCATTGACAGCCGTTCAGGTGGGGGCACCAATCGCGCGTTCCGCCTGGGGCGCCAGCTGCTGCAGCTGGCCTCAAGCTGCTCCGGGGGACAGGAGCAACTGGTTGACTAGTGTGTCAACTATCCCGTAAGCATTTGCTTATCATATAGTCGACTAGTCGTTCACATCCCTAGTTTGGAGTCAGTACACTTTCATCACAATCCTATATTGGAAAGATTAGATGCTATGTGTTTGATTCAAGATAAGGCATCATCAACTTACCTCATTGTACCATTTTGCTAAATATTTTGCTACAATCACAATCCATGGAGTGTGACTATGGTCCTGTAATCAACAAACAAAAAAAATCCGTAATGGAAATAATTCTGAAAGTAGTCAGAAATAGGCTATTTCTTTAACTCTGACAGTAGTGCATGTTAGATCACCATGGTTTGAAAATCTTGTAATACTGAAACACAGTATTTACATTTTAAAGTGCAGTCCATAAGAGAGTTAACATTTCTGATTTAATAAAATTTCCTAGTTTTTAACTTCAATTCCTGTATCAGTTAAACAGACTCTGTAATTCCATGAAGTTGGAAATAAACTTGTCTGGGATGGGATGGGATCCTTAGCCTCTGTTTGCCAGAAGCTAGGAAAAGGTTACAAGGCAAGGATCGCTTTATTATTACCTGTTTGGTTCATTCCCTCTGAAGTACCTGTCATTGGCCACTGTCAAAAGACAGGATACAGAACTAGATGAACCATAGTATGACCAACAATAGCCACTCTTATATTGGTCATCTAAAATCTTTAAGAAGGGGGAGCAAATAAACGCTTTGTCTACAAAAGTTATGTGCTCCATTTTCAACTTTTATAAATAATCCATTAAATAATTTGATAGTAAAAATGTACTAAATAGTTTAAAATACAAGTCTGAGAATTACAAATTGCACATTTTTATAACTGTCCTGCATGTGAATTTAATCTTTTAAGTAAATATAAGCCCTCTTGGATCCAAAAGTCTAGTATTATCATTAGGATAGTGACCAGATATCTTACTTTGATATAGCTGCCCTATATTTATAATCTCTCTTTTCCCTGCCCTAAAATACTGCAGCAAAGCCAAATGTCTTTCTGATATTACAACTCCACCTATACTCTCATAGGATAGATCTACACAGCAGCATTATTTCAGAATAATTGACTCTGAAATAACAAAAAGCATGTTTACACTGCAAACCATTATTTCAAAATAATGGTGAGCTGGAGGATGTGTAGACAGCACCAAAAGCTGAATTAAACTATTTTGACTTCAGCTACACAATTGACATAGCTGAAGTTGAGCAGCTTAACCCAAGTTTGGCCCTGATGTGCAGATGTACCCTTTGGGAAGAAAGACCTGCTGCTAAACCCATGGGAGGTGGAAATGCAAACTTCATGCCCAAGTGAAAGATTTTGGCCACAAATCACTGTTTAGAATTTTCCTCCCTAATTTACATCTGAAAATGTAGACCAATGTATACAACTTGATTCTGTCAGTGCTCATATATACTATAAATATCAAATACTGAAGTTGTTTTTATTAGGGTATCAAGTGATTAAAAAAAAAATCACAATTCATGATGCTTTTAACCAAAACCAGAATACCATTTAAATATTTTCATATATATTGATTTCAATTACAACACAGAATACAAAGTATATAGTACTCAATTTATAATTATTTTTATTACAAATATCTGCACAGTTAAAATAGTATTTTTCAATTCTCCTATTACAAGTGTTATAATGCAATCTCATGAAAATTGAACTTAAAAATGTAGAATTATGTACAAAAAAATTAACTGCATTCCAAAACAAAACAATGTACAACTCTAGATTCTACAAGTCCATTTTGTCCTCTCTCATTGAGACCACGGCTCAGACAAATAAGTTTGCAGGAATTAATGCTCCCTATTCTTGCTTACAATATTACCTAAAAGTGAGAACAGGTGTTCACAATCCAAAGCAGTCTAGAACAAAGTGTGTTTATTTTTTATCATCTGAATCAGATGCCACCAGTAGAACACCGATTTTCTTTTTTCGTGGCGTGGGTTCTGTCATTTCCACATTCAAGTGTAGCTCTTTTATGACTCCTGAAAGCATGCTCCACACCTCATCCCTCTAAGATTTTCTAAGGCACTTGTGATTCTTAAGCCTTAGTTTGAGTGCAGTAGCTATCCTTAGAAATTTCATATTGGTACGTTCTTTGCATTTTGTTAAACCTTCAGTGAATGTGTTCTGAAATGAACATGTGCTAGGTCATCCTCAGACTGCTAAAACATGAATTATATAGCAAAATGTGGATGAAACAGAGCAGGAAACATACAGTTCTCCCCCAAACACATTTTTTAAATGAACATCATCAGCATAGAAGCAGGTCCTCTGGAATGGTGCTCAAACCGTAAAAGAGCATACAAATATTTAGGATATGTGGCACATGAATACCTTTCAATGCCGACTACAATAAGGCCATCCAAATGCCTATTCTCACTTTCAGGTGACATTATCTCCCATAAACGTAAACAAATTTGTTTGTCTTAGAGATGAACAAGAAGTAGGACTGAATGGACTTGTACGCTCTAAAATGTTACATTGTTTTGTTTCTGAGTACAGTTATGTAAAAAAATTCTCTCTCTCTCTCTCTAGATAGATAGATATAATAAAATTATATAATTAGAGGATTTATTCAGCATTGCTCGGAGCCTTAACTTAAATAATTTTTATTTTTTCATTTAAATCATTGCTATGGGGTGGGACTGGAAATGAGGGATTCAATTTGCAGGTTGCCCTGGGGAAAAAGGCCAACCCCAGTCCTCTCTCACCACAGTAGTTTGGGGACTTGTGAGAAGTACATCTCCAGGACCACTGCAGTTTTGGCGGGCTCAACCAGAGGAGAGTGCATATCCCCTACTGGGGCAGGGCCAGTTTCGTCTGTCCCCTGCACTCCCCAGCTCCCTGGGAGCTTGGGCAGTCCCAAATGGAGGGTGGCAGTGGGAGGATGGGGGGAAGCCAGCCCTTTTCACCTGCCTGGTGATTCTGTCTCTTTTCTGTATACCAAATTTGGTGGTCCTAGCTCTTACGATAAAAGGAAGCAGTCCTAAACAATAACTTAAAGCAAGGGAAGAGTTTGCTTGGAGGTGGGCTCTGAAGCTCCCGCCACTCCAATGCATTAGGGGTGGAGCCTAAACCATATACAGAAAAGAGACAGAATTACCTGGCAGGTGAAAGCGGAGGGCTGGCACCCCCATCCCCATCTGGGACTGCCTCAGCCCTGAGCCTCCTACCTGCAGGTGCCCTTTAGGGACAACCTCCCCCCCCCACACACAACATTTGTACAGGAACACTGCTTGCTGTTTCTCCCCCTCATCCCCAGCCCCACCAAAGAGCAATGACACTGATTCCAATTCCGCAACCATTTCTGCGTAAGTAGGGCTCTGTGCAGGAGAAGAGACCCAGGTGTATGGAATTACTTGCAATAATGGAACCTATATTTGAATGCATTTTAGAGTACAGAATGCAAGTCTCATTCCAACCTTTTTTTCCATATGATCCAAGTCATAAGACTGAATATGTTCCCTCAGCTCTGGAAATGGGTCGTCCAATCTCAGATCTTCTAATGCATTGTCTGGATGAGATTCTACGACTGCCAAAGAGTTACACAAGATAATTACATTTGAAATATAAGCAAGATAGATTGTCTGTAGATTACAAAACATAGCAGTAAATATTCAGTACTTGAATATTTTGCGACGTGAGCCCTATTAGCATATTTATACATTAGTGGAAGTAATGCCTCATTGTTTACGTATTCCATAATGCAATGCAGTACAGTACTGGACAAAAGTCTCCCATTTTGCCGCATCATTGAGTTAATTACTTGTTGCATGCAATTTTCAGTAAGCTGTGTCCATGTCTAGAATGATTTTTGGGGTGGGAAATTCCAATGCAAATGCCAAGGATATTAACTAACACTAAATCACTAACACTAAACCACAAGATAAAACTAAAATAGTTTAAGTGTCATCTACATAAATATCACAACTAAAACATCTTGAAAAGAGCTTTCATTTCTACCTTTAAAACTATCTAAATCTAATTTCTAAAGAAATCTCTTACCTGAATGTTCCTTAATAATAATTCTCATATAGCCAACTAGTCCATAAGTCCTACAGACTAACAGAGGTATATTAGCATTCCAAAGAATTTCAGCTAAACGCACCAGTGTACTGAAAATGAAAATAAATTGACTTTTAGAATATACAAGAGATAATCAGGTGTGATACAATTTTAAAAAAATGTTTCCCATGTGAGAGAGGCATTCAAATCTAAAAATATAATATGATCAAAAGAATGCCAGAATGTATATGAAATAAGAGATATTTTAAACACTACACCAACAAGACATTAGCAGTTAATTTATAGCCATTGGTCCATTAGCACTGCATTGATTTCTGTGGCTCCAAGCTTTTAAAAAAGGAATGTAAGCTAACAGAATAATTGTCATTGGAAAGGAAGAGATTAGTGAGAAGCATATACTGAAAAAAAGAACTCCTAATACACTGCACTGACAAAGATTCTGGTAGAGCCACATGGAATTTTTACTGAAGTAGTGCGTGTCAATACAGTTACGTACAGTAGGAAAAGAAGGAACTGAATGGTGGCAGAGACCTCCGTGAAGGCTTGCAGCTACTGCCAATCTCATTACACGCAAGTCCTCAAATTACATTACTAAACCACCATAACTGTGGTGGATCAGGAAGAACTCCCTCACTAGAGAAAAGTGCTTAATATTTAAGTGAATATTAAAACTGTGCCTAACAACAAATCAATACAAGAACTTAAACTAGTGTATTAACATACAAAAGGTATAATGAAAATTATCACCCTAAGCTTTCTTGTCTATAAACGTTGCATATGATAGCAAAAAAGGCAATGTTGCTTCACATAAATTATATTTTCCCACAATAAGGCTGCAAACAAAACTATAACTGTAAAAAGATTTAAAAATATGAACAGGACTCTACCTTTCTGGTAACTGAGTGGCAACCACGAGATTAAACCGACAGAAAAATGAAGGATCGTTGTCCAGGAGTTTGTCTGGACTCTAATAAAAAGTACAAAAAAATTCACACACATTGGAAAATATGCTTATTCCCTTTCTAAGATAAAAGAAAATTTATCAAAAGTTAAAGTGAACATGTATACTCAACACTAGATTTGGATTCAAAATGCTAGATGTGGCTTCTGAATCTTTATTATAATTAGTTACAAAGTTATTTAAGTATACATAAACTAACTTGACCCACAATTTGAGATCTTCTTTCCAGATCTATATTACCATAAAGGTTTATGTTAACAATTATATATATATATAAATACATTTATTTTATTGTGTCATACTTTCCCCAAGAATTTAAACATCAAAACATAGCAAGGAATTCCAGGATACAAACCTCTTCCACAAAGTTTCCTGAAACATCATTATTTAATTCTTGTAATAGCTCTGTAGCACTTTGGGCTCGGTTCTGTTTTAAAACAATTAAAAATATGCCTGTTTAAACATACCTGTAATTTATAAGTTGATTTTATGTTTTATAGTAAGCATTCAAATACATTACAAATAAGTACATTATGGAATATTGATACAGTTCAATTATTTCATACCACACATTCAATTTAAAATCATTATGTAGTAGCAAGCATTTTTTACAAGCCAGGCTATACTTTACTTATACAAATCTAAAAAAGTGGTAAACTGTAATAACTGACTTATTTCTAATTTTAAAAATTACTGTATTGGAAGCACTGTAAGCTCCTGATACAGCTTTCTTTATCACTCTCCCCAGTCTAGCACACATTTTCCTCTCCAGTCTCACCGACATTGAGACATCTTCCCTACTCTCCAGCTCCAACTCCTCCCTCTGCCCTTGGGATTCCATTCCATCTAACCTTCCTAGTCCCTTCAACCTCTCATTTTCAAGAGGTTTATTCCTCTCACAATTCAGCCCTAGTCTTCCTCATCTTAAAAATTTGCCATGGTCCCTGAATCCCCTTCAAACAATCATCCACATTCTCTTCTCCCATCTCAAATAATTGTCACAACTGTCATCTCTCATTTCTTAAGTTCCATCTTATTCAGTCTGACTTCCACCCTCATTATTCCACTGAAACTGCTCTAACTAAGGTTTCTGAATTATGCTAAACATAATTCAGGCCTAGTGTCTTTCCTACAGACCAGTGGTACTCTGTTATGAGACTCAGGAGCCACATTTGCAACCACCATAAACCAAAAGAGTCACATGATTACTGTATGCCCTGCACATCAGACCACCAAACACCTATACAATAATATTAAAACCTCTGTGTTAATCCAGACCTGCTGCCTCCTGGAATGCTGTGAATCAGCTGTTCACGGTACTCAGGGATGGAAGGAAAAGAGCTACAGACTGCACCTCAAAGAGCTACATGTGACTTGAGAGCCACAGACTGAGTATATCTGCATAGACATCTTGAGTCCCTTTAGCACAATCAGTCATACCCTCCTCCTGGAACCTTATCCTCTCCTAACTGTCTTACTACCTCTTATTGTTCTTTCAATGGGCTCTCATTCCTCTTCCCCTTTTCGCTGGTTTTTGGTAGGGGTTTTCTAGGACTCAGTCCTTGCCTCTTTTCTGTATTTGATATGGTCCTTTTTACTGATGACAAATCTAGCTGTCCACCCTAGACTTGTTTTCCTCCATTAAGCTGAAGTCACATCCTGTCTTTTCAACATCTCCTTCTGGACATCCAGCCACCAATTTAAACTCAATATGGCCAAAACTGGGCTTTTGTTCCCATTCATATCCTGGCGCTCTGTTCTCACTCACCACTACAGAAGTAAGGAAGTTTTTAATCTATGTATCTCTAATTTTCATTTTCTACACAACCACTCAATATACTTACAAACTATGTTTATTATTGCTTTACCTGGCCAATATTGCTTCTTTGGAGAAAGAAACTGAGAAAAGAAAGATAATAGAAAGCCATATTAATAGTATTTTTCACAAAACTAAAAGCATTTCAGTTCTGCACTGTAAGGAAGCTTATTATAGCTTCATGCAGGACAAAATAAATCCCTTAATATCTATTTCTTTCAATTATTAATGGTATTATTTTTCTACTTGATTTCTTTTAAGAGTCTTTTTTAATCTTGTAAAGTCAAATTTTTGAAGAAACCTTATCCCAGTCCCTAAGGCCCTACAATCTGCAAACTCTGTAGCACATGCAGAATTTCACTCTTCCAGTGAGGAACTCATTGCAGGTTACTTTTCATCCTGTTAAATAATTAAGGTCTCAGTCCAGCTAAAGTCTCCAGTGCAGAGGAACTCTATGCTCACAGAGCCCTTTTAAAGTCAAGTGAGCTTCACATGGGCACAATAGTCTGCTTGCACCTTTCAGGATATGGGCCTAAGTTATTACCATTGAATATCTACACAGAGTGCACAGAACTTGCATTTTGATATAAAGGTGCATATATTTTATTTATGCAAGAGTTTCTAGGCATTCCCTACATGCATACATTTTTCAGGAATTTGGAAGCCAAGGACACGGTTTACTTCTCCAGACTCAAAGAACTCTAATGTAGCTTCAAGTCCTGTACCTTCAACCAACAGAAGCCCATCCAATAGAAGATATTACCTCACCTCCCTTGTCTCTCTCTATAAAAGTAATACATCTTGATGACAAAACAGTTTAAAAAGCCATGAAACTATATTCAGACATATAAAAAAAAAATGCAGGGAACCTTATGTCACAATAAGAAAATAAGATATTCACTACATTTGCTAAGTGTATTTTTTGAAGAATATGGTCTTTCCAACTAAAAAAAAGAGGGCAATTAATAAGAAACTCCCAATTAACAGAGTACATTTCACAACATCCAAAAAACCAACCCCCAAACAAAATACCTTAAACAACCAGCTTGTTTTGAGTGTAGCGTCTACAGTTACAGTAAATTAGATAATTATTTTTAAACAGTAGATAGTAAAGCTAATAAAACCTGAATGGTAAACCTACTTGTTTCCAACATCTTCTCCAGTGACTTGATTCCCATCGACAATCGTAAATGAACCAATACCTTGAAAATTACACAAATGAGAAATATGCACTTTTAATTATTCAAACTGAAAATCTTACTAACATTTAGGATTGAAATGTACGTACCTGGTAGTACTAAATTTTTGAGGATTTCAGTTCCTGTGGCTGATGCATTTATCACACAAACGTGAGCAGCTTCTAAAGCCTCTTGTCCATGATCACCCCACAATCTACAAAACAAGAAATACAGAAGCATTCAGAGGAAATAGTAACTCGTTAGCAAATACAATTTGAACGACAGTAGGAATATTATAGGATATAGCCCATGTGGTTTAGCCCATGTACCCTTTCTCTGTACACTGTTAAGCAGTAACTCTCAAAACATGATTTACACTGGGGTTACGTCTAGACTGAAAGCCTCTTTCGAAAGAGGCTTTTTCGAAAGATACTTTCGAAAAAGCTTCTTTTGAAAAAGAGCATCTAGACTGCAAGCAGTACTTTCGAAAAAGCAAGCCGCTTTTTCGAAAGAGTGCACGCAGGCAGTCTGGATGCTCTCTTTCGAGAAAGCCCTGTTTACATTCAAGAACGCCTTTTTTTCGAAAGAGCACTTTTGAAAAAAGGCGTTCTTCCTCGTGAAATGAGGTTTTCCGCCATCGAAAGAAAAGCCGCTTTCTTTCAATTTAATTTTGAAAGAACGTGGCTGTAGTCTAGACGCAGGTGAAGTTTTTTCGAAAAAAGGCTACTTTTTTCAAAAAAAACCTGCAGTCTAGACACAGCCTGGGAGTTTTGTCACTGACTTCAGAAATGTCAGGATTTTACCATTAGTTCCTTCAGATGTAGGGGAAAAAATGTCTATAGAAAAGGCAGAACAAGATTCCAAACTGTCAAGCAACATTTAAATCCATTCAAATTGTCCTGTGAGACTTAAAAATAAACAAACTACTTAAGAGTGTTTTTTAACAGTAGTTTGTGGACATGCTTCTCTCTCTCACTCTGAAGATTTTTGTCTTCAAGCTGCAACACACTCTGTATGGTGACTCAGTTGAGATTTTTAAGTGACTTCTAAAGGGTTATTTGACCAATTAAACACCTAGTTCACTTATACACCAGTTCTGGGTCTTTGTTTTAACAACAAATACCCTCCTTTATAGTTGCAGAGATAATTTCCAAACCTGAACCAAAAATGAATCTATACTGTTTTCCTGCAGACCTGCAGCTTTATCCCCTCTAATGCTATCCAGAGTAAAAAAGGTATGGCACAGTCTCATCAATTTTCAGTACTGCTACTGGAAACTAGGGAGCAATGACTTTTTCAAGAATCATGTCATTTTCACTCCTCTACAAGATTATTTAACATCAAGGCTGCTACTGACTCAAGAGTCAGACTCAAAAATGAAACTGGGGGAGAAGTAAAGTAGCTTAGGTATTTTTAATGGTAAACAGGTAAAGAAGCTTCAGGGGGTAGCCCAGTTAGTCTATACAGGAAAAAACAACGAATGGTCTGGTAGCACTTTATAGACTTGTTAGTCTATAAAGTGCTACCAGACCATTTGTTGTTTTTATAACAGGTAAAAACTCCCTCCCCATTTTGCAGCTTTCACAGTGGTTGGTTTTTGTTTTAAATAAACG